GTCAATTCACGAGTTTGCTCACAGAGCACTTTGATCTTACCTTATGCAGGGTATGAAAGTAGGCGTGTGGAGCGATAAATTGGTGAGTGAAATGGCACGTACCAAGGCAAACGTGTACTTCATACGAGTATAACACTTACCGGCCTCGTTACAGTGTGACGTGTAACAAAAAATGACACCAATCTCTCATCCTACTCAGCTCCACAGAATAATGTTCATTTGAAGGTTAAAAGGTTTCTACTAAGTATTCATAGAACATTGCCAAAAGAGAACACACTTCATTGTTTTGAAACAATTATATTAATTCACCAAGTCGTATAATAAATTTGCAATAAGTATAAGCTAATATATAAATATCCCTATATATATTTAACCCTATAACTTCTATAAAGCCTATGAAAAATATTTCAGTAAAATCACTTCCTTAAAATCTTTTTTTTAATCAAAATATCATTTAATAAGTCCGTGTTGATTTTGGTGTTGTGTTGACAAGATCTGTTCCCTGATCTGATTCCCGTAGCGTAATTAAGAGATATCAGTTAATGATTATGATAAGGTGGACGTCAGGTCTAAAATGTCCCCAAGGAACCCGACCCTTCACTGCAAATTAAGGTTTACAGAAGAGAACCCGAGCATTGACTGAAACCTCAGTTCTTCCAGCCTGTCAAAACAAAGTGTGTAGTGGGTTCATCTAATCTTCTTCAACAAACCTGACTTCTCAATGGAGTTTTGAAAAACCACTATACAAGAGTTTGATCTTTTTTCAGGATTTCCAGTTTGACTATCGATCTTACATTATCTTTTCATCTTTGCGGCGTGTCACTCTACACCTTCCCCAAAAACGGGTGGTGTGGAAAAAAAAAAGCTGTAATTTTTGTGCGCATGCGTAGATTATGTAGCTTTCAACTTTCCAGTTGAGGAAAATTGCCACGTTCACACGTTATCTATGACATTTTAGGTAAATTGGATTTAATTTAGTTCAAGGTGGCTCACATGCGTTCAAAACAAGTTTTGTATTTGAAAAAAAAAAAAAACAAAGCGCAAACCAATAAAATAGTGCACAATAGTGCGATAAAAAGCATGAAATTTTCATTCAAAACCAAGCTATAAATACTTAGACATAACAACTCGCAAGTTCATTCGATTCTTTTAGAGCAAATGAATGTCGAACAGAGCTTGACACTATGACAGTTGCAATAAACAGAAATGTCAAAACGAAAACAAAGAATGGTGATTAAAAATGTCTAATGAGTGATATAGTTGAATGATCTTCAATAAAAGCATTGAAATTCCAAGATGCCTGCCATCTAATTAGCGGAGCTAATTGACGAACGATCATCTTCCTTTCCCACAAGCCTCTTGAGTCTTTCCAGATGATGATAGGCCCTGTGGAGGTTGGACAGTGATAAAAAAATGAACAAAACTAACGTTTTCTTACCAACGCCAAGTAGCACATTAAGTAAAAACTTTGATTCGCATGACAATTCCAATGTTTTAAGGTGGATAGTCAGTTACACGGCACTTCACTAAAATTTCTAACTCAATGCTGTAATTCATTTTCGTTTTCTACATATTTTGTCTTGCATCATTGTAAGCATTAGGCTCCTTGTACAAACACACATCCGGAGATTTTTCCACACGTAGCACATTCGAATTTGATATCGATAGACAATCGATATCAAAGACAAAAACGCAGCTGCAAGAGAATACGTCGACCGCAACAACAAAGCAGTTTCACATAAACTGCAAGTAGTTTATGCTCACACGTGAACTAGTGGTCTTACGACATATGACGAAGGTATGCATTTAAATTGAAAAATTCCTTACTATGGGCTCTCAAGGAAAAAAGTCCTTTGGAGACATTTACTGATGATGTTTATGAATGGTTTTATTATGGATCAATAGACGGTAATTGACTCATTCCTTTACAGTTGAATCGCTTAATGTTTCCGTAAAGGTGTTTACAAGACAATTCACGTCAACTGATTAAAGTGTGCGACTTTCTTTTTAATCACGAAGTTCGCGAAATCAACGTTTCGCGAAAACTTCCTTTAACTGGGAGCACATATTAGCCATCCAAAAAAGCTTTTCAGCGCAAATGAAGAGACTTGCAAGTTATGAGGAAGCTGAATGAACGAGATGAGTGAATGAGAGACTTTTTTAACATACCTTTGTAAAGATACCTCCCCGCGCATTATGTCAGCATCTCTTTCACTTTGGTCATCTGTAAAAATAGCAACCCACCAGAAATTGTCAAGATAAAGGTCAAGTCGAAAGACAGAGTTCTTTGCAACGCACATAAACTTTGGATAATTTCACCACGATCCTTGTGCCTCCACAAGCACTCTATACGTGCACGTTTAGGCTTAAGTGTTCACCTTCATGAAACAATCGTTTGAATACTCTCTAATGAGATCATAACTGGGTCTTTATTGAACGGGATCAACATTACCTGAAGATAGAGAATCTTTCATAACTTTGGACTTGAAATCCATACTGGAGGGGCTCTATGAAAAAAAGTGAACATCAGTCTTGAGCCTACTAGAACAGTTAAAAGCCTTAAACCAAAAACAGTAGCGAACGAACGCTACAAGAGAACATAGAGCAAATGTTTGCAACCTCTCCATTTATATTCCGTCAGGTTTCTTTGTTTCAGCTCCTTTTGTTTCGTATTTGGTAATTTAGTGCTAACTCTCTCAATCTGCGGAAATCGTCGATTTGGCGTTACTTGAATCATATCACTTAGCACCCGTGACGGCGTGGTCCCCGGCGAGGCACAGTTTGCAAAGGAGGCAGGGTTACCAAGCTGGTTTCAACGGTCGAGTGTACGCGAGCCGTTAAAAACGTCTAAACTGGAAACTTTTGAAGCAAACTGAAACAAACTTAGCGTCGTTTTTCACCAGGAAGATTGAGTTTGTAGTGAATTGAAATGAAACTACAGTATATTTGCTTGGATTCTGCGTTGGATTGTGGCTGCCCGGTCATTTTGAGCTTGGATTTTTCGCTTCTCGGATCGGGCGTGTGCAGACTTTGGCTTCTCTTATGTAGTAAACCTAGAAATGGATATCTCGCTAAAATGGGTTCTTTTTTAACATAGTAAGCGGTCAGATAACAAGCGATGCACTATGAAAGTAAGATGAGGTAATTTCATTGAGGATTTGACTTATTTTTTTATTCCTAGGAGCGGTCGTAAATATTCCCATACAAACTCTTATAATTTCGCCACGACTCTTATTTCGCAAGATGATCATCTCACAGCTGGAGCTTAGACCGGCTGTGCATAGATCGACTCTCATGTCGATAACGAACAACACCAGTTACTTGTCAGCAACATCTAGTAACTTAAAATCTTAAACTGCAGTGCACAAAACCCTTGCACTAGTACCATTACCCACATCTCTTTATAAGGTTACCTTATAATAGCTTGAATCTTCATTATCGAGTGTTTCGTGATGCGCCATGTCCTGCATGGTAAAAAGCATTTGTTTTAAGGCTTCCACTGGGCCTGGGGCAGCTTCCTTTCCACTGAGTCTCATAGCACCCCCAGCACTGGTAGAAGTACCGTTCGGTTCCTGAAAGGATTTTCAAAAAGGACAATCAATCACCGGATTTCTCACAAAGCTGAACATAAATGCACCTGTAGTTCATCACTCGTAGAAAAAAACTGATTTTAATTCAGCGTCCTTCCTAGGCCAGGTACATGCAACTCATAATTCCTGTAATTTGCTATTCGAGAATCTTTACTCAGATGATTACCCAGTCATCTCTACGACAAAATGGAAGGCTCCAAAGCTGTTAGAAGACAAACTTCTACCCTCCATTCTCTGCTTGTTTCCGCGGCTGCACACGCAGGCTCCACACACAGGCCACATGTAAGTACATTTGTAGGTCGAATTAGGGTTTGTAAACTCACTTTCATTGTTTTGTCTTCGCTATCAACGCTCAAACAGTCGTCAAGAAATGACGAAATGATTCCAGACTTCGGATTTGTAAAGCGCCTTGTTATGAAACTGTCTGGAGTTTTGATGTCTTCATCTCTATGCAAGATTCAACACACATAATATTACATATATAGGTAGTGTTGATCATGAATCCTTACATACAATTCAAAGATGGTAGATAATTAGGGCACAAAATTTAAGTGCTCATCACCTCAGCGTTCAGAACTAAACACCCACTTCTTCATAAGATATTGATATATGCCTGATTTATTGCTACTTGTCTACGAGTAGGGAGCATTTAAAGTACATGTATGATCACTACCTGAGGCCTTTTTCAAACCCATGCATACAAAAATGGCAGAAACAAAACTTACAGCTTCCATAAGTGAAATCTTTGAGGGAGTTCTTCTCTTACTGCAGCATGAGGATTTGTCGAAGCAAACACACTTGTTGGGGAAAACTTGTCAGACACATCAGCAACATGAGGTAGGCTCATTTGACTCCTTTCGACAACACTTATGTGTGTGTCTGTCTCTGTTTCAGACTCGACTAATGTGTCACTGTCTGAGACAGTAGTAAGTGAAGGACTAACATCAAACAGAGGCATGGGTGGGTGGGTGATAAGCGTCTCAGTGTCCACTGTATTTACACTGACAACGTCATCATCAAGACTACGACGTGAACTTCTTGGCCTTGAAGCTGACCTCATGGCAACCCGTCGTAAATCTGGAACAGTTTTGCTTCGTCGGTGGCTCAACTTCCCTCCAGTACTCCTGGTAGGAATAGGGGGCTTGCGGTATCTTGTATCAGGAGCAGACTTTGCAAGCTTCTCATCTCTAGACCGGTAACTTGAACCAGCGAAAACAGGTTTATTAGGCGATTTGTACTCCTTCTGCGCTCTAGCTTCCCTTCCATCTCGCTGCTCACTGGGTTCAGAAAACACCACTCTTTGGTCGCCACGCAGGCCACCATAAGAAGTTCTGCTAGAATATGGATGCTTAAGTGAAGAGCCAAATGGCTTTTGAAGATTCCTGCCTGTTGAGATTTTGGGTGTAGAATAATACTGTGGCTTTGGATCAGCCGCGGCACTGTCTCGAGATTTAGAACTCTGAATCATCGTTTTCCAAGGATACATAGTATTAGGATCTCTGTACATCTTTTCCATTTTAATTCCTGTTGGTGATTTACGCATCTCCCTGTCCGTGTCCTCCGATTCTACATCGCTTTCCTCATTTCTGGATGGAGAGTGTGTCTTCAGTGGGATTCTCACACGCGATGGAGATGTTGCAGAGCTAGGGCTAGTAGAAGGCTCTCTCCTTGCCGTTAACGGTAACGTTACTTCCTCTTTTTTGACAGGCAGCTTTGAATACCGTGTCACAACAGGCGGCGATACGTACTTCCGTGTCATTTTTGGTGAGGCACTGTGAAGTGCAGACTCTGCAGATGAGCCCGCATATCTCTCATTCTGTAGAGGTATGCTGTATCTTGACGGTAGAGAGGTGAAGGGACTCCTGCCTGGTGAGGAATCCCTCGGGACAGCCATTCTAAGAGGAGTGCCTTCTTTACCTTCTGAATATTCATTGCTCGCAGAAAAGCGTAGAGACTTTGTAGGTGAAAGAGTCAGACTTTTCGACCTCCTTGGAGATACTGTTGAGTGTTCTCTGGATTTAATCTTCCCAGTGCTTTTTCTGAGCTTTTTCGTGGATTCTTTTTTCAGTCGCGCAACCTTTTTGTCTTGGTATAATGAGCTGTGGAAGTTTCCGCCCATATTGACCGGGTTCGGTCCATACACTGACTGAGAAAGCAGCATGTCTGTGTCAGTACTTGCTCCATCGTTCCAGTCAGTTCCGTTTATATTACTCTCTGCTTTCTTTACTCTTGATGGGTCTTTGAGTCTGCTACACTGTAGATCTGATAATTTAAGAGCTGATTTGGACTGTGATGAACGTCCAAACGGTTTTTTTCTCACAAATGTTCCTGATGGAGAGGAGGTGCTGGAGGAGTATTTCTCGTCAGGGCTAAAACAAATTATCATACAACAAGGGCAAACGATCAATCTAACCGACCATAAGGTTAAAGAAAAAAATTGGGGCAAGAGGACTTCAATTAATTCTAAACGAGTTGTAAACGTACGCGATACAAATGCAGTAAACTAAGCTCGTGTAAAGGGGGTAAGTTTCTAAAGAAACTGTGGGGCAGCGTCGGTGGGAGAGTATAACTGTGTTGTTAAATATTATCAACGGAGTTGATAACGTAAATTGGCTTCCGATAAGGCTTTTAAAGCTGGAACGTCAGCTTTAAAACTCTTTACGGTGGCCAATTTACCTTATCAGCTCAGTCAATAATACTTAATTACCCTGTTAAGCTCGTGTAAGTTCTCTTTGTGAGCTTTTCAGTTGCTGCAGACAAAATTCGAAACCAAAAAATTTTTTTCCAATCATATCATCGGAGATAAAGGCCTTAATAGAAAGCCAAACGCCATGTTAATATATTTGATTACCATGGGAACACAATCTATCTTTCAATTCATAAATTGCTCATTAAAAAAATCACGATCTGGAAACAGGAGAAATTTCTATTCTTAATAAAAAGCTATACAAAATAAATCCGTAAAAAGAGCAGAAAGGGAAAATCAATTCTGTAGGTCTGCAAAATGAACATTTGTCAGGAGAATGTGCGTGTACATGAACGTTGTGTAACTAGTGACCCCATCTACACATTTTTGCAATCTTCCCAAGTCTATGAACAAATTGAATGTTCATGCGTGAAAATACTGAGCAAGGAGGGCAGTGCTTAGAGCAAAGTACTGTAGGTAGTGCATAGAGCAAGGTAGGTAGTGCGTACTGTAGGTAGTGCA